CTCCCATATAAATTTTTTTCTCGATTTCATACAAATGGTACACCAAAAACTCTATGTTTGCCCGATTGACATGCAATTTTTCATAGATTTCAGAATGGTATTTGTATGGTTTTTATTGGTTCAAATATCTATTATTAGTTCACAATATTTTTCGCCTGATTCCATTTCAATGGTTTTCCAAAGAAATTACACTTTATCATATCTTTTATGTACCCAACGAGGTGAAGAGTATCATATAGTCGACTCCGTCCGACTTTTGATCTTTCCTTACTGGTTTATTTGTATTTTATTAAAATTCCGTTGTCCCTCAGCCTCTTTATTTCCGGGATTCAAATTATAAGTTTTCTCATTCCACCCCATTATCTAAAATGTATGATATACGAACATATAACTACTATATAAATATATGTATGTACTTACTCACAATGCATTTAACATACATAATATACCCCACCATCATCATCACCACCGCTACTTTCGAAGAAGAAGTGGGGAAACGTTTATAAAACTTCAACATGGTATAAACGGATAAATTAAACAACAGCAGGGCAAACGACCAGCAGTACACTCATACAAAAACAAAGACATAAACACGCAATGCTGACATTATTTTTTAAAAGTTGCAAATTTTATTTTAACCTGAATTAACAAAACAATAACAGCAACAACAACAACAACACAATATACTCTACAGAGGGAAAACAAAATGCAAACAGGACAACAGCATACAAACAACAACAACAGCAGCAGCAACAATACAAAAAAAAAGAAAATTGTAATTAGCAGAACACAGAACACAATGAATGTGCCAAGCTACTAGTCGTGTTGCTGGTGCAACAACAGTAGTGGCTACAACCCCAAATAGAAACGAAAACAAGGCCCTCTCTCTAAAACACACACGCTCTCATACTCACTCACCTGTAATAAACAAAAGAAAAGGGGGATGGGGGAAAAGTTTATATATTTTTATAATGAAATTGATGTGGAAACATGTGGTAATACAATAAAAACAATTGTTCTACTATTCTACACTAGCTATATATAAATGGCATGCATTGTTGCTGTTGCAGAATAGGGACGAACCCAAGCAACCAGTCAGCCAAACAACCAACCAACCAACCAACAAAAACCTAATAAATAGCCAAATAACCAAGCTTATGAAAGAAGACAGTTCATTAGGGCCTTAGAATGTACCAAACAACGGCCCACCCTTCTCCTCCTTCTCTTGCTCTGCAACACATAACCATGTATGTGTGTGTTGTTGCTAAAATTATTTAAGAAATATATTATATTAATTTTCTCCTTTTTTGCAAATATTAAGGCAATTTCCAAGAATTTATATTATGAACACAGCGATTTTTTTGGGGAACATGAAAAAAGAGCAACAACAATTTTGTTGTATTTAATTTTATTACCTAATTATAGCCTTAGGGGGGGAAATAAATATGTATGCCTTTTTTTATTGAATTTTATTTACTTTCACATATTAAAGGATAGGTATACTTTTAATACAAAAAAGTAATCAATATTAATTTGAAAATATTCCAAATATTTCTTGGTACCCTGACATATTAAACATTTGACAATATTGACTTAATTATTGTATCAAATAATTATAATATTTATTTGATAAGACTCATAATAAGATTATCAGTACTTAATAATATTTATTGAATTAAATTAAAGTAGATAACTACAAAAATCCGCAACTGAGACATTTTAAAAGAGATTATTAAAAAAATCGATAAAATTCGCGATAATTGTAAGAATACGCAATTTATATAATAGGGCGTTAAGTTATGTGGACGAAAATATATGTAGACTGTAGAATGTTACGGTCATGTACTAATGTGCCCCCATCGAGTAGCTAATCACTGTTAAAAGTCTGTACAGTTTGTTCAAATCAGTGCAGATATATATATATATATATAACAACCTCATATATTTATGTCTAGTATCACGTACTTGGTGCCCCACGTTTTTTAATTTGCGTTAAATCGTTTCAGATGTCATCGAAATGGCGCACAGATATCTGTCCGATTATCACAAAATGCAGTGTAACGTACTTAACTGAGTCTAGAATGTTAGCGCCAGTTTTTGTCTTTTAGAATCGGTTCAGATTATAATATATCTCCCACATATAATTACTTTCGATTTCACGTAAATGGCGCCCAACGTAAATGGCCCACTGAGTGGAAATAAATTTTCTTAGAAAATCCAAGATTGTTGGTCGATCATGAGAAAATTTTCTTTTAAAATATTTTGTCCTTGATAAAATATCCATTAACCAGTAAGGAAAGTAGTAAAGTCGGACTGGGCCGACTATATGATACCCTTCACCACTTTGAATATATTGTACATATGTGTTCTAACAGACGTCGCCTTTTCGAAAATGAACGGACTTAAATATGTGATCTTTATCTATAAGTAAACCGACTAACATCAATCCCAACACATGCCATTCTGCAACCTTTTATAAATTTTGTAAATAGATTCTACGCAAACTGTACACACGCTATTTGTTATGATTCACTGTCATTCTAGACTCAATTCAGTACACTCTGCAAAATTTCATGCAAATCGAAAGATATATAGGGACTTTGGTGCACTATTTACCTAAAATCGGACGAAAATATATATGGGATCTAATTCAGTACCATGCCAAATTTCGTGCAAATCGAACGATATATAGGGACTTTGGTGCCCCGTTATACATAAAATATATATTGAAGCTATATCTGAATTTAACCCGATTTTCACGAAACTTAACATACATCATTCGGGACCTAATTCCGTACTCTAAACCAAATTTTGCGCAAATCGAAAGATATATAGGGACTTTGATGTCCCATTTACCTTAAATCGGAGGAAAATATATATGGGAGATATATCTAAATCTGACCCGATTTTCTCGAAATTGGACACACGTTATTTTAGACTCATTTCAGTACACTGTGTCAAATTTCGTGCAAATCGAAAGATATATAGGGACTTTTCTGCCCCATTTACCTTAAATGGAATGAAAATATATATGGGAGCTATATCTTAATCTGACCCGATTTTCTGACTAATTTCAATAGGGCTCGTCCTTGGGTCAAACAAGTAACTTGTGCCAAATTTCATCCAAATCGGATCATACATGCGACCTGTACTTTGTTTACACCTGTACTATTTAACATCTACAGACGGACATGAATAAATCGACTCAGAAAGTGATTCTATGCTTATTCTCAAAAGGAACCATGTGTCTTTCTCATTTCCTTAATCATACACGCTTTTTGGGTCCTTTGAAAAACATCGTTTTAAAATCCTCGCCTTTTGGGTCTTTGAAAATCATTGTTTGAACATCCATGCCTCCCATATCCTTTGAAAAACATCGTTTAATATTCCCCACTTTTGGGTCTTTGAAAATCATTGATTGAACACCCACGCCTCCTATATCCTTTAAAAAAACATCGTTTAATAATCCCCGCCTTTTTGGGAGAATCGAAAAGCATCCAAGCCTTTTGAATCCACGCCTTGTGGGTCCTTTGAAAAATTCTGTTTTACAAAATCCAAGCCTTTGGGATCCACGCCTTGTGGGTCCTTTGAAAAATTCTGTTTTACAAAATCCAAGCCTTATGGATCCACGCCTTGTGGGTCCTTTGAAAAATTATGCTTTACAAAATCCAAGCCTTTTGGATCCACGCCTTGTGGGTCCTTTGGAAGATTTTGTTTTACAAAATCCACTCCTTGTGGGTCCTTTGAAAAATTCTGTTTTACAAAATCCAAGCCTTTTGGATCCACGCCTTGTGGATCCTTTGAAAAATTTTGTTTTACAAAATCCAAGCCTTTTGGATTCACGCCTTGTGGGTCCTTTGAAAAATTTTGTTTTACAAAATCCAAGCCTTTTGGATCCACGCCTTGTGGGTCCTTTGAAAAATTTTGTTTTACAAAATCCACGCCTTGTGGGTCCTTTGAAAAATTTTGTTTTACAAAATCCACGCCTTGTGGGTCCTTTGAAAAATTTTGTTTTACAAAATCCACGCCTTGTGGGTCCTTTGAAAAATTCTGTTTGACAAAATCCACGCCTTGTGGGTCCTTTGAAAATTTCTGGTTTACAAAATCCAAAATGTGGGTCCTTTTGAAAAATTCTGTTTTACAAAATCCACGCCTTGTGGGTCCTTTGAAAAATTCTGTTCTACAAATTCCACGACTTGTGGGTCCTTTGAAAAATTCTGTTCTACAAAATCCACGCCTTGTGGGTCCTTTGAAAAATTCTGTTTTACAAAATCCACACCTTGTGAGTCCTTTGAAAATTTCTGGTTTACAAAATCCAAAATGTGGGTCCTTTTGAAAAATTCTGTTTTACAAAAAAAATTCTGTTATCAAAATCCACGCCTTGTGGGTCCTTTGAAAAATTCTGTTCTACAAAATCCACGACTTGTGGGTCCTTTGAAAAATTCTGTTCTACAAAATCCACGCCTTGTGGGTCCTTTGAAAAATTATGTTTTACAAAATCCACACCTTGTGAGTCCTTTGAAAATTTCTGGTTTACAAAATCCAAAATGTGGGTCCTTTTGAAAAATTCTGTTTTACAAAATCCACGCCTTGTGGGTCCTTTGAAAAATTCTGTTTTACAAAATCCACGCCTTGTCCTTTGAAAAATTACTCTTTACAAATCCACACCTTGTCCTTTGAAAATTTATTCTTTACAAAATCCACGCCTTGTGGGTCCTTTAAAAAATTATTCTTTGCAAAATCCACGCTTTGTGTGAGGTCCAAAAATGTCGTTTAAAAGAAATGCAGGAACTTTGAAAAATCCAGTCTTTGTTGATACTTTACGAATTATTTTCTACCAAATCTTCGCTGTTTTGGCCCTTAGATAATTATATTTTGCAAAAGCCAAGTCTTTAATTTTGCCAGTCTCTGAAAACTTTATTTCAAATATCTTGTTATATATTCGGTGTGATTAAGTTATATTATAACCACATTATTTTTTCTCTTTCTCTTCATTTCAGAAAATGTAAAACCCCTGACATTCGATGAAGTTTACAATCAAAGCAGCCCCTCAAACTGTACCGTATATGTTGGTGGTGTCAACAGTTCTCTCACTTCGTTGAGCGAAGAAGTATTGCAGAAAACATTTTCACCCTACGGTTCAATACAGGAGATACGTGTATTCAAGGATAAGGGTTATGCATTTGTAAGGTAAGTCATAAAAAATCTCTACACATATATACAGACCTGGAAAACCGAATATAAATATTCATTTTTGTTACTTACAGATTCTCCACAAAAGAGGCTGCCACCCATGCAATTGTTGGCGTACACAACACGGAAATCAATGCCCAACCTGTGAAATGTTCATGGGGCAAGGAAAGCGGTGATCCCAATAATGCCCAATCGTTGGCCAGTCAGGCCTTAAATCCAGCTGCTGCCGGTTTTCCATATGGCGTTGGTGCAGCTGCTGCCGCTGCAGCTGCTTATGGTCAACAGTTGGCAGCCACCGGTTGCTGGTATTCACCAACACCCACGTATCCTGCATCATCGGCCACAGCTGCTGTAACGCCTGCTGCCTCTGCTGCGGTACAAAATCAATTTCTGCAAGGTATTCAGGGCTATCATTTCGGGCAGTATGGTGGCTATCAGCAAGGCTATATGGGGTAAGTTTGAATATAATGTAATTTATTTATTATTTACACAAATTAAAGGGAATGTTTATAAAATGCATTTTGTATACAAATTAAAAGGGAATATATAAAACGAAAAAAATCGTATAAATGAACCTGTCATTTTGCCCTCAAAATCAATGTTATTTTCCAATTTAAAAGTTTCCTATCGAAATCATTAATTCAATAGCTATAGAGAATTTTGTGTTGTCATATCTATATTCTATCAAAGACAGCCTAGACCAAACCCTAGCAATTTAAACGAATCCATTTTGTCGGACATTGAAAACAATTTTAAAAATTTACAAATAATTGATTATAACAATGTAAACAAAAGTGTTTTAAAACAAATATTGAAAATAATCCTTTAACTGAAAATGTCACATTATATTTTTGTGAAAAAAGAAGAAGAAGAGAAAACATCAATGACGAGAACGGAGGTTATATACAGTAAATGACAGGTTCATATTGTTTACACACACAAATACATACATACAAATGAATGGGTATATATGTAAATTACAGATATGTATTTATGTACACTATATGCCATCTTTGTGAATATATACTGATGTGTGTGTGTATGTGTGTCAATATATATTTGTTGAGTGCTGTTAATGTAAACACAATTTAAACACAAATTGAGGTTACACACTTTAAACACTTACATGGGCGTGAATGTAATTGTACGAGGTTGGCAAAGGATGTGGGGGAAATTAATACAAAAACACTCAATAAAATTCTTAAAATCTCTAATTTTTTGCATCTCACATTACCCTTAATAATACCCCCTAAAAACCAGATTTAATGCTCTGATTGATCTTTAAATATATTCTTTTAAAATACAGGCCGATAATCCTTTACCTAATTTGTTCTTAATACCTAATTTTACCTCTGTCTCCTTTTCCTACATTTCGCTCTGCTAGTTTTTAGAAATATGCAGCAGAAATGGCTTATGGTGGTCCTGGAAATATACTTTTTGGAAAATATTTTTTGCGTAAATATTTTTAAATTTAAATAATCCGTGTTGCTTCTTAAAAAAAAAAATCCGCCAGAAGTCTAATTTTGTTGATCCTGTAAAGACGATGTTGGAAAAAATACAGGATCATTTTATCATTGCATAAATATTTTTAAAATGATAAGTCTTAAATAATATTCTTCACATCGAGAGTCCTTGGAAAAATATTTTTAAAAATCTTTGCTTCTAAAGCTTTTAAAAAATTATTCTTTAAAAAATGCACACATGCAATAAAACTTATAAAATATTATTTAGAAATTCCACACATGTTGAGTCCTTTGAAAATGTATTCTTAAGAAAATATTATTTAACATAGTCAAACCTTTTGTGGCCTCTGAAATGCTCACATTTTGCGGGTCCTTTGAAATGTCCACACTTTGTAAGTCCTTGAAAAACGTTTCTTTAAAAATCCACGTCCTTATCAGTCCTTTGAAATGTCCACATTTGTTGGTCCTCTGAAATGTCCACACTTTGTGAGTCCTTTGAAAAACGATTATTTAAAAATCCACGTCCTTGTCAGTCCCGGAAAAAATGTCCTTTAAAATCCTCGCATTTTTCAATTTTAGAAAAGTATATTCTCTAAAAAATCCACGACTCGCATACTTTGAAAAAAATATTCTTTGAAAATATATGCATCGTTCAGTACCTTTGAAAAATATCTTTAAATTGTATGCTTTATTTAGTCCATGAAAAACAGTCTTTAAAAATCTTCGCCTTGTGAATCCTTTCAATAAACATTCTTAAAAAAATCCATGCCATGTGAATCCTTTAAAAATGTATTCTTAAAAAAAAAATACACCTTGTGAATCCTTTGAAAAATCATTCATTTATTCCGGAAAAAATTACACATTGTGGGTCATTTAAAAAAAAATCTTCCTTTAAATAATCCAAGCCTTGTGAGTCCTTTAAAAAAACATATGTTGGAGCCATGTCTAAATCTGAACCGAAACTTAGCACAAATCATTCTAGACTTAATTTAGTACGCTATGCCAAATTTCGTGCAAATCTAAAGATATATGTGGACTTTGGTGCATCACTTACATTAAATCGGACGAAAATATATATGGGAGCTATATCTAAATCTGAAGCGATTTTCACGAAACTTAACGCACATCATTTTAGACCTAAATCACTAGACTGTGCAAAATTTCGCACAAATCGGAAGATATATAGGGACTTTGGTACACCATTTACCTTAAATCGGACGAAAATATATATGGGAGCTATATCTAAATCTGACCCGATTTTCACGAAACTTAGCACACATCAATCTAGACCTAATTCAGTACGCCGTGCCAAATTTCGTGCAAATCGAAAGATATATAGGGGCGAAAATATATATGAGAGCTATATCTAAATCTGGGCCGATTTCCAGGAAACTTATCACACATCATTCCTTACCTAATTCATTACGCTGTGCCAAATTTCGTGCAAATCGAAATATATATAGGTAATTTAGTGCTCCATTTACCTTAAATCGGACGAAAATATATATGGGAGCTATATCTAAATCTGAACCGATTTTTCCAATTTCAATAGGGTTCGTCCTTGGGCCAATTAAGTGAACTGTGCCAAATTACATCCAAATCGGATCATAAATGCGACCTGTACTTTGTTCACAAAAATACATGGACGGATGGACATGCGTAAATCGACTCTCTAAAGGATCCATGGGTCTATCTCGATTCCTTTTGTCGGTTACAAAAATATGCTCAAGGACATACTACCCTGTACCACAGAATGGTGAAGGTTAAAAAATTAAATCTTGCGAATCCTTTGAAAAATTAAGGAATTGCGGACCCTTTATAAAAAATTCTTAAAAAGTCCTTTGAACATATATTCTTTAAAAATGTATTCTTTAAAATAGCCAAATCTATGAAAAGTCTACACATTGCGGGTCCTTTGAGCAAATAGTCCATGAAATCCACGAGTTGCGTTCCTTTTGAAAAAGTCTTCTTAAAAAAATAAAAATCGTAAATCCTTTGAAAAAATGTTCAGAAAAAAATCTACAGCTTTAGGTCATTTCAGAAAAAAAATCAGAGCTCTGTCGATCCTTTAAATTAAAAAAGAAAACTCTTTTAAATTCTCATTTCATCCTTAGAAAAATATTTATTAGAAAATATGCCCCCTTTTGGCCAAAGATAAAATATTTTTTTTTAGAATTCCAGACTTTTCATGCTGTAGTGCTTAAAAAAAAATTTATAAAATAACCTTGGAGTGGTCCTTCAAAAAATATGCTTTAAAAATTCATATCTCACCTCGTTTTTGTTCTGACATCACCATTACTATGTATATATATATATATATATGTATTTTCTCATATATACCTCGACACATATATAAAAACTCTTACATATTTTAATGATTGAAATGCCTTTGGGTATAATGAATGATAAAATGACGAATGTCTAAATTCATTTACTAATTGTCAGGCAGGCAACTTGCTTGGCTGGCTGGCAGTCAGTCAGTCCGACATGTTCATTAAATGTTTACACTATACTAAATTCAACATTCTACATATATATGAATAATTTGTTGTTTTTCGAGTAGAATTTCATCATTTTTTATTTGTGTTTTTTAATTTTCTAAATGACGACTTATAACAAACTATATGTGTATGTATGTATATGAGGATGGTAGCACACAATTTGTAACGCCCACTTGTTAAATTCAACAACTGTTTCCTTACCCGCTAAGATCGTTGAAGAAGATACGCATACATATATGTGATATTTTTGACATGTCCTATAATTATTATGGTTGCATATATATAGGTGTTACCATTTTTGCTGTAATGTTAATTAAGTATCTATTAAATAAATTAGTTTTATTTATTTATTTATTTTTTTTTTTGTTTGTTATAATATATATTTTTTTATTTTTTTTTCACACCAAGGCCGTTGTTTTTTAACTAATGCATAATTCTTCTTCATATTTTTTTCCTTGCAGTATGGGTGTCCAAATACCCACAACCTGGCAAGGCGTTGCCACACAAGCCCAAATATCTCCTGCTCAACAGTTGGCGACGGCGGGTGTTGCCGGTGCTGCCATACCTCAGGCTGCCGGTGTTGTAGCCTACCCCATACAGCAATTCCAAGTTAGCCCCCAGGTAGGTAACCAAACCATAAAAAAAAAATAATTTACAAACAAGAACAAAGTGAAAGGCAACATGAAAGCTTTTGACATAAATAAATATTATTGCACTTTACATAGGCAATATGTACATAATAAGTAGTTCGTTCTGTTTGGTTACGTTTTATTTTGTGTTACTCTCAGTCTTTTTTATTCCTTTTAGTTCGCTTTGCTTTTTTTCTGCATGTTTATTATGCTTGCAGTTGTTGTTATTGAGTTTAAAGTTACGGATTTCTTTTTTTCGTTGCTTTGTTGTGTAAATCTTAAATTCTTAATTTTCATGTTGAAGTGTTATATTTTTACCTAATTGGATTCTAATTAGAAAATGTGAATAGTGTTTGTGTAACAAAGTAGGAAAAAAACTAATTAAGGCCAACGTTATGTAATAGAAATTTTAAGTAAATAAATTAAGGAACTATTTCCAAGTATCACGGTGAGTGTTTGGTTTCACATCAACTCAGGCATTAAAATTCAATACAGACCAGGAAACGTCTCTTGCAATAAAACCATATTCCATGGGGATGTGATGCATGTGGCAATGTCTTATTGAAACCACATCTTATCCAAGTCGTATTCTTCAATAGGAAGAAAATAGTGGGCGACCATAACACTTCGAAGTGATAGTCGGACCAAACAGTGGCCTTTTCTAAATCTAATGGGCTCTCTTCAATTTCTTGAGGTTTCTGTCTGGACTTCTGATGTAAGAAATAATTAAGGTATATGTATGGTTATAAGGCATAATTCACATGAAATGCGAATTTTAGTAATTTTTAATTGGAATTTCCCTAAAAAATTAAATCCCAAATAGTGGTCCAATATTGTAAAACGTGGTACAATGCAACATGTGTATAAAACCTTCTAAGCACTACATCGTGTAGGAATTACCGAACATTTGTTGATATCATTATAGGAAGGTTTATGTCTAATTGAGGATCGATATAGATCATTTTCGAACCTTCTTTCACCCTAAATGTTAAATCGGTAGGTATTTATACCCCTCACCACACTGTGGTACAAGATATTATGTCTTTGTGCATATGTTTGTATCAGGCAAAAGGAAGCGGGATAGACACATGGTTCCTTTTGAGAATATGCATAGAATCACTTCCGAAGTCTGTCCATGTTAAATTGTAAACAAAGTACAGGTCGAATTTATGATTCGAATTGGATGCATTTTGGCATACGTCACTTATTTGGCCCAAGGATGAACCCTATTGAAATTGGAAAAAAGCGGTTCAGATTTAGATATAGCTCCCATATATATTTTCGTCCGATTTAAGGTAAATGGTGATCCAAAGTCGCAACGTATCTTTCGATTTGCACGAAATTTGGCACAACGTACTGAATTCAGCCTGGAATGATGTGTGCTAAGTTTCGTGTATCAAGTCTGCTATGAATCGATTTACATAAATTTGTCATATTGTACGCAAATGACTCTAAATCTGCCCGAATGAAACTTAGCATAGGTTTCAGAATATATGTAGGTATTCATGTTAGTGGGTATCACATATTTAAGTTCGTTCAATTTCATGTCAATATGCCTTCGAATGGCGACGTATATTAGGATATATATGTAGAATATACCAAAGTGATGTAGGGTATCATAAAGTCAGCCCAGTCCGACTTTACAACTTCCTTTACTGGTTTATATAGATTCCTAAAAACGGACCGAATAAATGCATCCTCGAACCTGAAGTTTTAGTTTTTATATCGATATCCTCCGAAGGTTGATGATTACAACAGATATCTAAATCGACTAAAAAGTGTGCTTAATAACCCCAAAATGCCGACAATTGAGGCGTACCGTTATATGGGACATACAGAAAAAATGAAGCGATATTCATCATTTTAGTAGAGAAATTTGGTACTCAATAAGAAGAAAAGTGCCCTAAAGAACGCCAAAATATCGAAACTTAAATGGGTGCCTTATATGCGGGCTATGCCTAAATGTGGACCTATATCGAACTACAACAGGCAGCCGGACTTGCTTAAATCGTCATAGAATTTTACGCTGATCAGGACGGACTTGCTTAAATCGTCATAGAATTTTACGCTGATCAGGAATATATAAGCGTTATAGGATCGGAATTGATTATTTCGATGAGTAACAATCGGAAAAACCAAAATAAATATATCCTCCATAGTATGGTGGAGGGTATAAAAATACCTAAAATGATGTTGGGCATTAATATATAAGGGTTATACGTGTTCGAATTCTTAAAATTATCGTTATATGCGGTATCGATACTGATATTTGTTGGTAGGGATAGTTTCCATCATATTAGAATGCAAATTAAAAAATTAGATGTTCTGTTATATGGACACCACCCTATAAAGTGTTCAACTTTTAATACAAGGAGTCAAATTACAATCAAATTACAAAGTGCCTTAACCTCCTAAATATTGAATATTTTTGGCTCTCATATAATGTCAAACTGAATTGGAAAGTTCAGTTATATAGGCGCTACTCTAGAAAGTCGACCATTTGTGGTACAAGGCTTTCTGCCCAAGGAGGACTCAAACTAAGTCAATTCGGTTTAAGAACGTGCCTATGCTTTCATTTTTATTGGGTCCGACACGAAACTTGGATCAGTACTGATAATTTTTGTTGTAAAAACTTTTGATGATTGACCCAAAATAGCAACATTGAAAATGTTATGAAAATCCCTAAAAATGTTATGGAAATCCAATTAAAAATGCTATGAAAATCCCTAAAAGGATGTGCGTATAAAAAACAGGTTGATAGGCATGATATACCTTCAAAAATTTTCTGATTATTACAATAATATTTGAAAATATAAAAAAAAAACTTTCTAATTAGTTCGAAAACACTCATTAGAAAGCTGAGCGTGTCGCTCAAAAATCCAAGCCTATAGGTTAGAGTGTCTTTTAAATTTTTAGTGAACCATAAAACAAATATTTAAATACGCCTCTCAAAGTTGTTTTAAAAATTACCAAAAACAAATTAAAATTTTAGATGATGACTGTCAAACAATATATATATATATATATATATATATATATATATATATATGAAAGTAATATACAAATATTTCAAATTTTATATATGCATGTATTTTCTATATTTTCAATTTTATTACTCATATAGTTTTATTTATTTTTAATACATTACATTTTCTTAATATATATTTTCCATTTGCTTATAGTATTGTAATCTTATTCATTGTTTACCATATTGCTCTTATCACGTGCACCCCAGCAAGAAATTTTTTTAATAAAAAATTTTGTTATAAAAAAAAATATCTCAAGGCCAAATATGTTTCCTCTTATACATTGTTCTATTTTATATGTCCTTTTTTGATACTCTCTTTTTCGATTTTTACTAACACCCATATTATTTTTTAAGGTTTATCCTTTACTTTTGCAGGCACAGTAAATCCTCACAACCAAAAAAAACCAAAACAAAAAATTTAAAGTATAAATTATAAATATATATAAAAAAATATTATATTTTAGCCAAAAAAAAAAAAACTAAGAAAAAAACAAAATATACTAAATTAAGAATTTGACATAAATGTGAGTTGTAAATAAAATATACAAAAAAAATATACAATTATATATATAAAAATATCTAACACATGAAAATATGCTGCAAATCCATTAATGTTGAAAACTAAATGATGAAATGATGGAGATGAAAAACAAACAAAAACTGAAGGAATTAAAACCGAGCACAGAAAATATGGCATAATAACAACTAAAAATATAAATAAATAAAATCAAAAACCAATTAACATATATAAATATATTATTACATAGAATTAGTTGTAAATTGACATAAATTGATTTGTCAGTATAACATATTTACACATACAATCATACATATACTTCTATACATATATATAGATATGACAAAAACACCCACAAATCATAAATGTAATGCACTTGAAAGAATGATAGATCTCTAGTAAATCCAATAAAAACAAAACCCAAATACATGTATGTGTGCGTGAAATAATCGTGGTATTAGTATTACACAAACACCTTTATATATACTCAAAATCAAAGGATTTTGTGGACATACGCACACACACATAATACAATACTACACACATTCTCACCAATGATCATATATCGATAGACATATGTATATGTAGCGGGGGAAAAAATAAATAAGCCAATTATTTTAATACACCTGAAGCCAAATTTTTAATTTGTGAATTTTCATCGTCTTGAAGATATTTCTTATACATTCCTAAGTTATGTAAAAACCAGGACCTAATTTTCTAAAAAAAAACATATAAATCAGTGAGCGGAGCAGTATAATCGGAAGGGGCCGACCATACGATACCCTACACAACTACCACGGAACTCTAACATTCTGCGGATATTTATTCCTAGGCTGGGCAATGCCCGATTGGAGATCAACAGCACATCTTCCTTACACTTACATATATTCCGAATATTACTAATATTCAGTACAGTTCTTCTAATTAAAATGATTATCTGATCATGAATGAAAATTATAGGCATTGTCGTTGCCACTACCGAAATCTCATGCAAAATTTCAAAGCGATTATTATGTCTTTCAAGGGTATATATATATATATATATATATCAGCTGTAGAATACAAATTTTGTATTTTTTACACAAAAGTCAGGGTCCATTTGACCCGCTAAATCTTGACCGATCTTTATCAAAACAGGCATGCTTATTCTTTGGCCCGATCCCCTTCTCCGTGTGAAATTTCGGGATGTTCGGGCCATAATTGCGGGGTCTAGAGCGACCAGAAAAGCGGACAAGAATTAAGCATTTGGTCCATTTTATCCCCTAATTATTGACCGATCTTTACCAAAAACAATAGGGGTCTTCATTGGCCAGAAGCCATCCTACATGCGAAATTTCGTAAAGATTGGTCCATAACTGTGGCCTGTATGTATACACGATACAGGCCACAAATTATAATGGACAGACGGACGGACACACATGTCTAGATCTTTTGGGGCAGAAAGCTATAGGGTATAAAAAGGGTACATTTTCAACCACTCGAAATGTCAAATTTTATCCGGAATGCCAATAAATGGGACGGAAACTTTTTATGTGGATCTAAAAAAATGTCTTGAACCTATGTATCCCATTTGCGATACCAAACATGCTAGGAGTGGTAGCAATGTCTGTGCATAATTTCAAAGCTGTGTCTTAAATTTTTTGACTACGATTTAAAAGGTTATACGAATCCGATTATGACACCATTAAAACCAGCTTTCTCAGCATCTTCTGGCGACAAAATCGTAGACCATACATTGGTACTTGATGTCTGTATGGTAGAGGACCTATTAATTGTACGTTTTGGCCTACCAAACTGGCACTGATTACAACGTTGTATGCGAGTCTCATTTTCAGGATTCATATTTTTTTTTAATTTTTCTAAAGAAGAAAGGAAGATACTTTGAGGTATACCGGACACTATTAAACTCCTATTTATGCGGGATAGTATAAATGTCAGATGACCCAAAGTACTCTCAATGTTACCTACCAATTATTTTTCAGCCAATATTTGTTTCCATAATATTTCTACACAATTTCCAAATGGCTATAGAACTCACAACATTCAGCCGCTCTTTATTTATAGGGCAATTATTTATAGGGAAAGCCACTAAACTTGTCCATGATTTGTAGCGTTAGTTAAGTTAAGTGTACATTAGACACATATAGAAAAAAAAGCAAATAATCAACACTGCACTTCAAATTGATGTCTTCTGGAAAAAAATCCCTAAAACTCTGATGGAAAAAGGAAGAGCAACAAGAATTAAAAAAACAAGAAAACTCATACTTTTGCCTTTACCCGAGGTAATGGTAACCCTATATATAACTACAAAACATTAAAAATACAAGTTTTTTGATATAAACATACATTACTGAAAACAAAAACCAAAAAATATACTTTTTGAGAAGAAATAAAAAATAGCACTAGTGCCTAAACAACTGTTTGAAAAATAAAAAAAAAAAACACTTTTTCAGTAACATGAAAAAATAATCAAATAATTACCGAAAAAATCCCAAAAATAAAAAATTTGGAAAATAAACTAAAGAACCATGGTAACCCTAAAAACACAAAAAAGGACAACTTAACTCTAAAATCCATTTTAAAAGAAATTTGCGCACATAAATAACCCTTAAACTGATTATTAAAGTGGTCTATATTTATAATAATATATATTGAAAAAAAGATACAATTGTTTTATTATTTTTGGGTTTTTTTCGAAATGAAAAAACTAAAATAAACTATATATAAACTATATTCAGTTAACAATTACGGTCGGACAAATCGTGCAATACAAAAGAAATAACATTTTGGAAAACGAACAAAAAAACCTAGTGATTTAAACAAAAAATATATACTATATTATATAAAACACACACATAAACCACACATGTTCCAACTCACACACACACACGAACTCACATACACAACGTCACTGTTTAACTGTATTAACAAACAAATAATTCCTAAAAGTATTAGTGCAAAGCAATTTTAAAACAAGATCCTGTAGTTTCTAAAGAAAACAAAACACTCATTCATTCACTCAATCACTCACTTTTTACACTCAATCAATCACTCAAATATCTACATATAATAATTATCTCCATAGGTCATTATAGTTGATATGTATTAGCAAACAAAAATAAATGAATAAAGAAAAAGAACCACAATTAAATAACCAATGAAAATATAGATTACTAATTTATTCATGCAAATAGTTCCTAGACCAAAAACAACAGCAACATCATTTAGAGACACAAAGTAAAATTCAAAAAAATTAAATAATTTTATATTGCACTCAATGGAGTTAAAAGTAAATGCAAAAGGACAGAACAAGAATTATAATTTGCTTAATTTCTTTTTTTATTTTTCTCAATCTTTCGAAAAAATTATAAATATTATTTGGAAATGAAAATAGTCTCATATTTTTAACAATTCGAACCGATCTATTTGAGGAAAGAGAAATTATAAGAATTCAACGAGCGCATACATTTTTTTAGGAAATATTAAAAAAAAAAACGATTTATGTGTCGATAATATTTGCGGTCGTTTTACAGAAAAATATTTAGCACCAAAAATGTAGCTTCAGAACATTTAATAAAAAGCAAGCACGAAATTCATTAAATTCAGCGGGGTCTTACTTTTTGAACCCTCCATCATGAGGACATTCAAAAATCCTAAGATTGATAGAGACATTTTATGATGGCTATGCCAGAATAAAAGTCTACCAGGAGGTTTTCGGACCTCTGAATATCCCACTTGAACTTTGAAATGTGGTTTTTGTATAAGGGGTATGTATAAATACCGCAATGCCAAAATAGCAGCAACTTGTTATGGTGTTATGTGGTAGTAGGTTGTTCAGGCTCCGAAATATAGCGTTCCTAATAACGTACATCATAGTGGGAAATGTTAAATGGTACTTTTTTAATTTATTTTTTATTCACCTGTAATCCGATATATCAAATTATTGCCACTTGTCACAAATTCCGTTAAAAATTGCTTAATACCGAAAAAGAAGCGAAACTTTTATGTGGGGTTATATCAAAATTTGGACCTATATATACACCACACACATTTGTATATAAGTCAGTCTTTCAAAACTTGTTATGCCTAATTACAGCCCCATCGGTTGGAAAATGTGGTTTAAGTCTTGAAGATGCAGAAAATGGGATGGTACTGGTTTTGGATGGTTCTATGGGTGCTATACCAAACCGTAAACTGAAACTGATAGTTTTTGGTAAGAATATTTGACCCTCCATAAGAATTTGGTAAATCAAATTATTGCGAATTCGGTTAAAAAATATGCCAAACCCTCCAAAATACCATTTGTGGGAGCTATCTGGAAGCTTAGGCCAATATTAATCCTTTTTGGTAGGGAGATTTTCTACTTAAAGACAATCCTAAATATAATATTCTACCGAATTTGGTAGAAGTACATGTCCAAGTTTCCAAAATACAGAAATATGGTATGTAGCATAATTTGCCTAAAAAGAGAAATAATAATAGAAAAATTTGACACCCCATGAGAACCTGAAAAATCAAACTAGAACGAATTCGGCTGTAAAACATGCCCAACACCTGCAAATTACCGAATAATGGGTGATACCATTTACCAAAGTTGACAATTTTTGGTATGGACTTATTCTACCCCATTAGTATCCAAGCTCCCCAAAATAGGGATATTTGGGATGTAGCGTTATATGTTGGCTTCTCTAAAAGGTGAACCAATGTTAAGCAGTGAGCGGAGTAGTATAGTCGGACGAGCCGACCACACAACTTTCACGAACATCTAACTTTGTGTGATTCTATATTCTGAGCTTGGGCAATATTGAACTATATTTGCACCCTCTTGGCCGACTAGAGGTCAAAAAATATAACTAATATTCAGTACAGCTCTTCTAATTACTTGTC